GGAAGGGGTGTGGGGGGGTGGGGCGTGTTTGGCAAACCTAAGGGGGTAGGTTTTTGAAACGGTGGTGGTCGTCAGAATTGTTCTTTTTCGCGCTCGCCCACACCGCGTGGGACGGTAGCGCAGTGACCTGACACTAAGGGGGGCAGGGGTGGCCTGGATTCAGCCACCACGCCACCCCGCAGCACCCCCTGTGACTAATCACCCCCACTACTACTATCAAGAACATCTACCCGATTACTCCCCCCAGGTAAACAAGTACGGCGTGGGAGGGATACTTACCCGTAGTTGCTTAGGGGGTAGCCTATTTCTCTAAGTTGCGACTTTTGAGGCCCTTCAAAAACGACGGTGACGTCACCGTGCTTCGAGACCCTCGTGAGACAACTAGAACAGTGTTAAAATAGTTCTATTTTTCTAAGTGAGTCTATGACGTCATCGCGCACACGCCCGCTGGATCACCTTACGCTACGCCTACTGCTGGGTCAACTGATACAAGTCGCCGAGTTTATCGGCGTAGTAGGTGGGTTTTTCGGCAACACCCGCCACCAGTTGTTCGGATTCAATACCCGTCAACACCAATAACGTATCGAGGCCGCCGTCGCGGCCAAACTTCATATCGGTGTTTAACCGGTCTCCTACCATGAGCCCGCGCTTAGGGTTCAGTTGTAACGGCGGGTTCTCCGCTTTAATCGCGTCCATCATCGCCTGGTTAGGCTTACCACACACGGTATCGGGTTGTCTTCCCGCGGCATAGGCCACCGACTCGATAATCAGACCCGCACCCAACAAGAGCTTACCGTGAGTCGGGAACGTCAGATCAATATTAGTCGCGATAAACGGGAGCCCCTTTTGTAAGTATTGTAACGTGACGGAGAGCTTTAAGTAGGAAAGGTTAAACGCAAGGCCAGCGACGACACACCCCACCTCGGAATCAAGCTCCGTCAAATACGGGCTAGAATCGTCGAATGGTTGGTGACCCGCCTTATTTAAATCGGGATCAGCGCCGCCAGCCGTCGAGTACCCCCTCTCCTGAAGCTCAGTTTCAATCCCTTTTTCCCCAAGAACCCATACTTTCTTATCTTTGGGCAATTTTAAGATTTTATCAATATGGACGGCAGTGGCGTAAGACAGGCCGAACACTTCCAGTTTTTCAATGCCGTGGATACCCATACCCTGAAACTTGGTCAAGTAGTCGTCCCTCAGCTTGGTCGAGTTGTTGGTGACGAAATACACCTTCTTCCCCTTCTTCTTGAGTAGAGCGATGGTTTCGTCGACGTAGGGGAGCAATTTCGACCCCGTCCAAATGACACCATCGCAGTCGAACAAGAAGTAGTCGTAGCTATCAATAAGCCGCTCCGCCGCTTCCTTGGTGGTGATCTTTGACGACATTTTGGTGGGTATTCACTGTTTGTTAGGAGGGCGCGTGAAATAAGTGCGGGGCAAACCCCTCCGTAGACTACTAACAACTGTGACTCACACTGGAGAGTAATAACCAGTTCAGCTGTGTGATATTGTAGTTTGATCTAATTTGTATTTTTGTTTTATCTAAATTTTAAATTTCATAAGCGTGTGTTTGGTTGTAGGAGCCTGTCTCTTGCTTAATAGATCAACCGAGGTTATTGAGGAGATTTAACAACAACGATCCCATTGGGCTAAACCAAATCATTAGCAGTTGGTTCTAGCAACAAAACTCCTACTTTACCAGATCAAAGTAAATCGGCTACAGAAACAACCTTCCTTATTTCTATAACCATTTGTATATTGTAATCGCTTCTCGCATCCACCTTCGTACCTCTGGTCGAGGCCATAACCTAATCCTTGAAATACAGATCAGATCTAACAATGATAGTCCTACTAGACCATAACGATAGCGTTTGTTTGGTTCTGAACTCTCTTACTAGTTATCGCTTGGTTCCAACGTCAATGATCATCCCTTCCCTTAACAATTTGCAGCTCCTCAGTAGGCCGTCGCACGAAAAAATCCTCACCGTCCCACCTTTCTGTGCTAACTTTGCTTACCTTATCCTCACTTCCGTGCGAACTTCACTTACCCCGACTCTCACTCCGTGCGACGACCACATACCAACCCGCATCAAGAATTGTTCGCACAATTGTCACCAATGAGTGTCTGGCGCCGGCTGCTTTCGTTTGCCACCCGCCCCCGACCGCAATTCCCTTATGGCACCGGCCAACCCATCCACGAGACCCGCCCCCACCTGATCAACCCCGGCGATATCACTCCAGGCATCTCCGCCGAGGAGTACTACCAGCGCCGGGTCCGTCTCGCCCACAAATTGCCGCCGTCGTCGGTGGCCATCGTCAGCGGATCCAGTGTACAGTTTGCCAGTGGCCTGGTGTTCCACCCCTTTCAACAGAACACCGACTTGTTCTACCTTTCCGGGTGGAACGAGCCCGATACCGTCATCGCCGTCGAGGTCGATGCCAACCACGAAATGACCTTCCACATGGTGGTACCGCCCAAGAACCCTCATAAGGATAAATGGGAGGGCGACAAGTCCGGTTTGGAGGGTGCCTACGACGTGTTCAACGCCGATATCGTCGTCGATAGCCACCAGGGGAAACGCCATTTGACTGAGCTTGTGGATAAGGCCCAGCACGTGTTTATCGATTCTACCAAGCCGCAACTAGCCTCGTTGGGCCTTTCATCAGCTTTGAATCAGCTTAGCGGTCGGCTGGGAGCGAAACCGGTGGCCCCCATCATCGCTAAGTTGAGAGCGATAAAACTGGCTCTGGAACAGAGAGTGATGGCAGCAGCGGCCAAAGCCAGTAGCCGAGCCATCCACCACGCCATTGCTACCTCTACCAACACTCCCTTCCGCCAGGAAAAGACGTTAGCCCGGTTTTTGGACTACTCTTTCGTCTTGCACGGATGCGACGGTCCCGCCTATATCCCCGTGGTGGCGCTGGGAGCGAACGCATTGACCATCCATTATACCAGAAACGATGACGTCATCTACGACGACGAGCTCGTGTTTATTGATGCTGGTGGCAAATTGGGCGGGTACTGTGCTGATATCAGTCGCGCTTGGCCTCACCGTGGTAAGTTTTCTGAGCCGCAAAAAGACTTATACTCAGTGGTTTTGGAGTGTAATAAGCAGTGTATCGACCACTGTGTTCCCCTGAATTCATTACACGATATCCACGAAGTTTCAGTGCTGTTACTTTTGAAGGGGTTACAGCAATTACCTGGTTTTAGCCACGTGCTGCGTACCGAAGTGGCCCGCAGTCTTTACCCACACTATATTGGTCACCATTTGGGTATTGACCTCCACGATGTGCCCCTGGTGCTGAGATTTGACCCGTTACAACCGGGTAATGTCGTCACCATCGAGCCCGGTTTATACATCCCTAAAGACGATAAGTGGCCTAAACACTACCAGGGCATTGGCATTAGAGTGGAAGATGACGTTGTGGTGGGCTCATCGCTGGCCACCATCACCAATTTGACGGCCGGCTGTGTTAAGGAGATTGCCGATATTGAGGCCCTCATCGCTAACGGAGTGACCACCCCTGGTGTCGGCGAAGAACAACTTAACCTCTTGTAAATAGATCACTACTAACCTATACTAAAATAGACGAGACTAGACAATTGACTCGTGTGTCGTAAACACTTCTTTCCGTGGTTGGTGTTTTTATCAGATACCGTGGGTATTTGATCGATATCTCCAATTTATAACTAGAAGCCTCTTAACATGTTGTCTAGAATAGTGAATAATGTAAATTTCGCTATCTCACGAATCTCTGATGCAACGTCGTACTTCACTGAAATCAATTGTCGTTAACTCCTCAGAATCAATTCAAAACTGGTAGGCCTAAGATCTCCAAACCCCGGCGACCAAATCCCTTGCCGGCAGTTAACTACCGCCGGTATCATCACACCTCACATATGGCTTTCCTTCCAACTCTACATTACCAACTTTAATTCCCAATAGAATCCCATCAATCATGCCACTGTCGTCAGACCCTCCCTACAACAACCACCACATAACTAGAAGAACAGCCACCCACAAATAGTAAAGCATTATATAATAACCAGCAGATCCTAAATATCTCGAAAAGATCAAATCTGATAACGCTTTCTTGTCTGGAATGTCGCTCGGGGTGGAACTGCCCACGGGGTCCACGTTGCTAAACATAGCCTTGCTTCCCCCTGCCAAGGGAGTAACCCAAACAGTCAAACAAAGCTCAAATCCTTTTGAATCTTTTCTGACGATCACTGTAAGTAATTTTCAACTAATAATTAAATAGACTGCAAACATTTCCCATAGGTTCCGAGAGATAATTGCCTCACCGTAAAGGGCTCGGAGAGTCGGCCCCGGAAAACTCACGCACCGACCACTATAGGAGAGCAGAATAGAAACGTAAATTCCATGAAACTAAAAGACAACTACTCTCAAAACTAAGATATAATTCGTCTCTAACAATTGATTAAATTGAATAGTCAATTAATTAGTAGTTGGGGGTCACTGCGGCGGCGACGTCGTCGCCACCTGGTTCCCGCCCCGCGCTACCACCCCGGGGCCCGCACCACAATCGAATGTTAGCTATCGGGCCACCCACCCCAGTACCAACCATTCCCCCACTGCCCCCGCCTCATGACGCGTCCCCTGACCCCGAACCCGGGCCGGGTGCCTGACTACGAGAAGAGCCTCTACGACCAGTTCCAGCTCATCTATAACGACCTCCTCAACTTGAAGAACGACCGGGGGCGCCCGTTATCGTCACAACAAATCTATACTGTCTACGATAAGTTCCTCAATTATGTCCACGAATTGAAGCTTACCCGTAAGGACGTTGAGTTAAAGGGAATTACAGTTACTACCACGGCTACCGACCGCGTCATCGACGATATCTGGCAGTTATTGTCGCTATGCTTTGTCACCTGTGGCCTCACCAAATTCGCTCCTGCCACCTACCTGCTGTTGCTAGCAGTCTCCAAATTGTTACACCATTTAAAGGAGTGCCAAGTGTACACGCTTGACGACTTGAGGCCCATCAAACTGAGGCTTGAGGAGATTAAACAGATTATCGATAATAACGACCAAGAAGCGGAACTGGAACATGAAGGTGAATTCCACCACCAGGAAGAACTGTTATTATTGAGAAACAAACTTAATGAGGCCACCCTGTTGTATAAGGAGCTCATGGAAGACTTTGAGGAGATCCCGCTGGACTTGGAGCTGATCTATAACAAGTTGTTGCTGTTGAGAAAACTCATGCTTAAATACATCACTGAAAACGTCAACGTCACTCCTAACGACTTGAAAGCGATCAAAATCCAATTGAAGGAGGTCATGGCTCAAAGAGGACCCGACGGCAAATTCCACTCAAAAGTGGTTGCCCACGACGACCATAAGTTCCAGGGTTTACTTAATGGTCTTTTAGAGGACGTCAACAACCTTTTACGCGACGTTCAGATTAAAAACGACCTGATCTCGCTGCTTTTAGACCAGAAAATGGTCATCGACGCCGACGACGAAGCCACGCTGATGATGAACAAATTGGAGTCGTTATACAACCAGCTCGTCCAGATTCGGGAAAACTTGGACAACTTGTACGTCACCCGCCGCTGGGACTTGCGGGAAACCGACTTGTACCTGTATCAAAAGCAATTAAGACAAATTGAAGAGGAACGCGCCGAAATCGGTAAACAAATCGCCGCTAGAGGGAAACCGTCAGCACCCCCGCTGGGAACCACTACTCCCGTATCTGGTGGCGCTGCTGGCGTCGCTCGCCCCACTACCGCCGCGACCTTTTTGCGCAAACAACAAATCTTGATCCTCTACTTGTTGAGACGGTGCTACTCGCTTGTGTATAAGCTTTTGGAGCTGTCGGAGCCCGTATCAGAGCTGTTACAGCCGATCCACAACCAGTTGCTGACGGTGCGCCAGTGTCTTTTGGAGTTGAAGCGGGTTGACGGTCTTAACAACTTAAGAGAGCTTTATCCGTTCCAGTTTAAATTGGCTCTGCTTGACAATTTACGCCAGGACGGCAAGTTTATCATCAACGGCCAGATCCCCGAAGGTCAAGGCACGTTGAATGCGTTGTTGGCCGAGTGCTTTGACATTATCCACGAGCTTAAGATCGAGTTGGAAGAGAAGGAAGAGACCACCGAGACCGACGCCGACGGGCCTGCACCCACTATCACCCAGACCAACGACGACACCGAGGTCGAGACCAAGCGTAACCGGTTCCAGCTGTTCTTAGCCGCCGACTACGACCAGGACTCCCACGACGAGAGCGAGAGCGACGACGACTACGACTTGAGCGACGCCGAGGGCAACGACTACTACTAGCAGCGGGCATTGCTAGCCACGAAGTCATCTTGTAAGTATTATACGTAGTAAACTAAACTAATGAACCATTAGAGGAAGTTGTAAGGATTTTCGCATTTAGGAAACTTTTTTTTTTAAAACTAAAGTTTCCAAAGAAAGCGACCAGTCGAAATTTCTACCACGAGCAATCACCATTGGCATTTCCTTTTATAATCGTTTACTACCTTACCTTCAATTTGATTGAGTGATTGGGTTGACTTTATCTATTCTGGACACCGGATTCCTTCCTTAAGCTGCCATGGAGACTCCGATTGAATTACTTTACCAGTTACCCCAATTGAGATTTGAGGCGTACCAGGCTGATATCACCAACGAAACGGATCAATTCAACGCTTGGCTAGACTATCTAGCCAACGTGGAGGTTCCCGAAAGGTTACTGCTGCCAATCGAGTGCGATAAACCCGCTCAGGTCAATATGGCCAAGTTCACTGAAACAGCAATTGCCGATCAAGTACTGGCTTTAACCATGGATACTTGCCATTTTGAACCTGGTAACTTTGAGGCAGTGGTCCCCCACCTCACGCAATTGTACCACTGGACTGATTACATGCCGCCCGCCTATGTCGGCCGTTTGGTTGTGAACGTGTTTTGCAATACTTATCATTACCCCAAATCCATTGAGATTTTCCTTGATGCTGTTTTTGAATGGAAATGGCTGATTCAGAATGACCCCATCAACGAAACCGGCAGAGGTCAGATTCGAGGGATGATTATGCTCCTCCTCAACGTGTTGGCAGCACTGGCCTGTGCTACTGATGAAGAAGCTAATGCTTGGAAAGTGAAGCATTTTGGAGAATTGATTGAACCGCCATGGTCTCTAAATGTTGTGGACACCATTGGCACTATCGTGGACCAGGAGTGGCTATTCTATAAACCACCAACGGGATCCAAATTGGACTTCCTCGATTGGATTGACGACATTATCAACCCTAAAGTGCCAGCAGCTGTTACTTCCGATGGTAACCAACGGACGGAAACCGACCAGAACGATCGTGACCCACAGTCCCTGCATCTTGGTTTATACTTCGAGTTTCTTGAGAAGCGAACTGCTATCGGTTCCAATGTCGACAAAGCTACCTTGAAGAGCTTTATTGCAATAACTTTAAACGAAATGTGTGACGCTCATATGACCAACACTGATGATACGATGGCGGGGCTCAGAAAAACCGTGGACGTCTTACTCAAAACTGTGTCGTCACAGTCTACTATTCCAGACCAACAAACGTTTGAGTTGGCGACGCTGAAGCTCGTATCGGCAACAATGTACGAATTGCTTATTGCCAGAATTGGGTCGATGTCACCCATGGCCCACTTTGGAGACTCCGAGCTGTGTACGTTTGTGGCGCTGCGCCTGATCATTAGCAAATTCAAACACAAGCAACCGTATAAGCAAGCTGTTTTCGGAGATGAGATTATGGTGGAGGGGACGGGGACGCTCAAGCTAGTTGACGACAGTGGCCATTCCTACGCGATGAAGGCTCTCTACTCGCCACTGTCGATGGGTAAAACCTTCACTGTGGGACCACGGCCAGCACCTAAACAGGTGACATTGCTGGAGACCACTCCCGCCGTAGTGAGGTACGAAGTGTTTTTACAACACTGCCGACTCGTGCGCAGAATTGGTAAGTCCCTTTCTATTTATGAAGGTAATAACGGGGGGAAGCTCTACTTTATGATACGCACTATGCTGTACCCATTAAGAGTACTGCCCAAGCTCGGAGCCATGCTTGAAGCCTGGGCCACTGTCAGTGAGCAGTTGTCTCTGACGGAAAAGAAAATGAAAGAATTAGGTCTATTAGTTTAACGTGACACGATTTGACGCTATTTGTATTCACAGAAAATTAATGCTTTATTGTGATGTAAATGATAACGCGAAACCACAAAACCGCTAGCGCCACGCGAACCTACTGCAGGTAGTCATTCCACAATAAATGGGGCTTATCATTTCCACTAGCGCCAATACTGGAGGGCTTAGCTTTCACTGGCAATTTTGTTTGACCAAGTAAAACTTCAGTGTTGTACGGGTGGCTGTCGCCTACCGTGGCGTAGTCTCGTAAATGACACTGCTAGACCCCTTTAATTGGCTCATCTCACTACAAACTCACACTCGGAGGACTAATACAACCAACACACAACCACGTACACCGATCCGGTTGCCATGGTGACCCGCTACTGTGTCCATCGAAGGCGGTAGAAGCTGGTGGCATCTGGTACCAATTCCTTTTTTTTTCGATGACGTAATTGCTTACCGCGAGTCCTGCGCACACACATTCCGCACTCAGCAGCCACCTCTGTGCTATCGCACGCACTTTATTGCCATCCCTAACACACAACACCCACTTCGCCCGCCATGAGCCAAGCCGCCGTCGACAAGCTACGGAAAAGACGACGCGACGACGACGAGTACGAGGTACCCACAGTGGCCACACTCCTGCGAAAACGAAATCGCTCCCACGCCATCCACGGCCAGAACTTGCCCGTCGCCCGCAAGCTCGAGGTGTTGGACCGCGAGGGGCTCCAGCAGCTCATCGGCGACCTCATCCAGCTCCACCCGGAGATTGAAACCACCCTCGTCAACCAGATCCCCACCCGCCCCACGGTGGAACAGTGCATCGACATCATCCGCGCCAAATACGACGACGTCATCGCCCACTTGCCCTACAAGTGCTCGGTGGAGCTGGACTACCTGTACTTGCGGGTGAAGCCCTACATTCGCGAGTTGTTGGCGTGCATGCTGGATTTCATCCTCCACTTCCTCCCGCCGGTGGAAACCGATATCACCAACCTGATCACGTTTTTGGAAGCCGCCACTTCAGTGTTGGACCAGCTCCCCAACTTCACCAACCTGGAGTTCCAGTATACTCAGCAGACCGCCTACGAGCAGGTGGCAAACACGTGGTTGCTCGTGGTGCTGGTCGATGCCGACGACGAGACTCAGAGACAGAAGGCGCGCTTGTTGACCAAGATGGACGCCTTGGAGTGTCTCGAGCGCCACAACACACACGCCCGCGGCAAGTTCAACCCGGTGATCGAGTACTTAAAGAGCCACGTCGACGACGCCGCCCCGGCGCCGGCCCCGGGGTTCTCCGACTTGATCACCGTCGACTACTCAAAATACTGCACCCCCACGGTCAGCGACTAATGCATAAAGATATCTACATAGAGTATGGAAATAAAGGTTCTGGGTTTAGCCCCGAGTGTAGAAAAATACTGACATTATGAGTAAAGATGGAGATTTTTACTCAACGACTTAGGTAAACTTGTATGTTAACAAGCTAGTCTCGATAAGTTATATAAAATTGGGTCTTACGACTTACCTCTATCTCATACCATACCCGATGCTCTAAAACCAACAGCGAAACGATGACTATTTCCAATCCCCTTAAATCAGATAATCTTTCAAGTTAAATAGCACACTAGTTGTCCCACCGTTGCATCATTGACGGATTGTGATCCACGAAATTACCAAACCATTTGCCTCCAGTACGTTCACCCGTTACTGTCATTACGATATTGAGAGGGGCGGTGGATCAAACGTGATTCAGCATTGGGGAGATAAGTTTGGGGATGAACGCCGCGATGGCTCTGAATGTGCAACAGTAGACCTCCTCCGACCTCAAAACCACACACGGGACACGGTCCCAGATCCAAAGGTAACCCCTTATTTAATAACCCCGTTTTATCGATGACCTCAATGGGAGGTAACCCCGTCGGAGTTGCGGGTACTAACTGGAGAGAAGAACCAACTGAGTCTGGTGATGGTAGTATAGGCACCGGCACTTTCGCTGGTGCCTCGGAGACCGTGAACGGCGGCTCGGGAGGAATATCCCGGTTCAACATGGCAAAGGTCCATTGCAAACACTCTAGAAAATTGGCATCATACTCCAGCATACCATTATCATAAGATGGGGACCTCAAGTTACAGCACTGCTAGCGCAATTTCAAGTAAACAGACACGGCACCGGTCGTACTAAAATTTTCCCGGATCTCATCTCGCAGCCGTGCCATCATCGCGCTGATTGACGCCGCCGTGCATAATCCTGTCAACGCGAGAATAAGCGATAAGTGGGTGCAAATTCTGTCAAGTGAATGTGGTACTACGCTCGACCAGTAAAATATTTTGGTAATCCAAAGATATGTGAGGATGGATAAGCAAATGGTCAACTCAAGAGATCAACTAGGTATTGACTTATCAAACAATTCAATGTGTATGCTCAGATGCAATTAGATGAGATCATCAATAACTCATTTCTTAAGGTGGACTCGAGGCATTGACATAAACCTAGGGTTAGGAATAAAAGGGCAAGTCTTTTCAAACGTCAACACATGGCCATTAAACCACTCTTCAGCCACACAGTGGTAGCCGCATTCACATTTCCCAGTCAATTTCAAACGGTCTGTGTGCTTAACGTCGCGTGAGCTATGACGGTCGTCAAACCGGAAATGGTGGTTAAGCATGTGTAACTTGCACTTGAAGAACGTGGGGAACTTTGCCATCTTGGAGCACTTTCCTAGTGCTCGGAACTTACACACAAACGGCCACCGTTGGCCGCCACGGTGAGTGTTCATGTGGCGGGCTAAGTTCTTTCTGATATAACGACCACACCCCGTACACTGGCCCAGAGTCGTCTTGGGCGCTTCAAGGGGAGCATCAATTGAGCCGATACCACTTTTAAAAGGCCGTTTCTGATCTGTTTTTGAGGCTGTTGATGAGTGCTGGACTGGTGGTACTGGTTCCAGCGCCGGCTCCAATTTGGGGTTTTGGGAAGTAAATGGAGGTGGTGAAATTGGAGTCTCCTGCTTCATCGTAGGAGATTTTGAAGTATATTTGTCGCTGTTGGTAGTGGTAAAACTCATTTGCCAGGGGTGTGAGTTGGTATTGATTTTTATTGAGGCAGAGTGCAGACTATAGGCAAGTGTAGCATCCACTCCCCCAAAAACATTGACAGCTCCAATATCATGGCAATAATCTCGATTTTGAGGGATTATTATGGAGTGATTAATATATCTGATCCCATTGTTAACGTTTGTTTTATTTGTAACACCAACCGAGCCACTTGATACAAGTGACGTGAAATCCTCAAAGAGTAGTGATGATAAGTACCAATGCTTTTCATTGTGGAAGGAAAGTGACAGATGATTAACTATGTGCTATGCTTGGATAAGATTCCTCAATTGTGTTTGGAGCCTCTTTCTGTGATGAAAATGATGATGCTGTTGGCTTCAGTGGCTCCAATCTTCTTAAGACTGAAGCAGAAAACAAAACTACCTGTTATCAAGACTGATAGACTCGGAATTCTCGTTGGAGGTCACTTTAAACTTGGTTATACTACTAAAGCGCTGGCTTAATCACATCGAATTGAGCACCTAAAGATTTTACGCCCTTTAAAAGCACTGTCAGATAGCTCCTACGTAGTCTTGAATAGACTTATCAGCTGATTCATAACTGTTAATTGTTGACGGTATATCGATTATTTCGTATAGAATCGTTTGTCGTCCACAAGATTGAGATGTGCATATAGGAGTTCGATGCGTTTTGCGCGTACATTCCCCTTGTGGGGGAGACTGGGGGAGCGGCGCTAGACGAAGAAAACACCGCCTTTCACTCGTGTCGACCAGTCAATCGACAATCACGAGTGAATTCCTTCCCGCACCAAGTTTCAGAGCCCTCCAGTGCTGGTACTGCCCTTATACAACCTTCAAGACCATCATTTACGGCTGTTATTCCCAGTATGACCTCACCACTTGCCGATGTCGATTTGGAAAAGAAGCAGTTCCAGCTCAAGGCCGAGATCAAGCCATGGCTTCTGAGCCTACTTCGTCCTCAAGGGATTGAACTCTTCGTCGAGAGAAGCAGTCAGGTCAAGATCGTGTTCCGATGCCGCCTGAACACCGTGGCGACGCGTCGCTCGCGGTGTCCGTTTCGAATAAGAGCGAACTACCAGAAAAACCTCAAGGTCTGGCTGTTAACGGTGACCAATGACACTCACAATCATTCCATCCAGGGCACCCTGACCACCGTTTCATGGCTGTTTCGCACTGCACTGCCACCTTCGCTTCCTCGCCAAGAACAGGGTGAGACTCCCCCATCACCATCAGCTGGTATTCCAGTAAATCTTCAAAGCTATCAGAAATGGGTAGGGTTACTTTGAGTAGTCAATAATCAGTACGTTTTGAGAGACACTTGTAGTGACGCAATTACTTAATAATCGATCGAGCCTTTTGTGTGTGTAAAAGCACCTTCCCCTCATTCTCACTTCTCCAGCAGCTTCCTCAGTTGCCCCACTTTCCTTCTCAAGTTCGGCTGAACCATTGCACGACTTTTCCTCAAAAGGAGCGCTGCACATCCTGCCAATCACTAAACTCTTGTGCCACTATGTCCAAAGCTATTGGCATTGATTTGGGTACCACCAACTCGTGTGTGGCTTACTACCACAACGACAAGTGTGACGTCATTGCCAACGACCAAGGTAGCCGTACCACCCCGTCAATGGTCGCTTTCACCGATTCCGAGCACTTGATTGGGGAGGCCGCAAAGACCCAGGCGGGTAGAAACCTCAACAACACCGTGTTCGATACCAAGCGAATGATCGGCCACCTGTACGACGACCCGGTGATTGAAGACGACAAGAAGTACTATCCCTTTGAAGTCGTCAACAAGGCCGGCAAGCCCGCTATTAAAGTTGAATACAAGGGTGAAACCAAGGTACTCTCACCAGAAGAGATTTCCGCCATGATATTGGCGAACATGAAGGAAACTGCCGAGGCTTTTATCGGCTCGAAAGTCAACAATGCTGTGGTCACGGTTCCCGCTTACTTCAACAACTCGCAAAGACAAGCCACCATTAACGCCGCTAAGCTCGCTGACCTTAACGTGTTGAAAATCATCAACGAGCCCACCGCTGCCGCCATTGCCTATGGCTTGACCCAAGAAGGCAATATTCCCGAGAAGCGAAACGTGTTAGTCTTCGATTTGGGTGGCGGTACTTTTGACTTGTCGTTGTTGTCTGTCGAAGGCCGCGTCTTCAAGGTGATGGCAACCGCTGGTGACACTCACTTAGGCGGTAAAGATTTCGACAATCGTTTGGTGGAATACCTCATCCAGGAGTTCAAGCGCCAGACTGGTAAGGATATCACTGGCAACCAGAGAGCGATTAGAAGATTGCGGAATGCCTGTGAGCCGGCGAAGAGAACGTTATCGTGGTCGACTCAGGCCGCCATTGAAATCGACGCGTTGTTTGAAGGTGTCGACTTCTACACCTCAATCACCCGAGCCAAATTCGAAGAGTTGTGCGGCGACTTATTTGACTTTACCATCGATTTGGCGGAACAGGTGTTGAAGGACGCGATTGTCGACAAGTCGGAAGTCGACGAAGTCGTGCTTGTTGGCGGCTCCACCAGAATCCCCAAAATCCGCAGCTTGTTGTCTGCATTCTTTGATGATATGTTCATTACGAAGTCGATCAATCCCGATGAAGCTGTTGCCTATGGCGCTGCAGTTCAAGCGGCGAAGTTGGTTGGCGACAACTCTGCGCAAACTCAGGACTTGGTAGTGATGGACGTCACTCCTTTGTCAATTGGTATCAGACTACATGGTGGGATCATGTCCAATGTGGTCCCGAGAAACGCGCCAATTCCCTCCAAATTCACCAACACCTTTGTCACTATTGTTGACTACCAAGAAGTTGTTCGGGTTAGAATCTTCGAAGGTGAACGAGCCATGACCGCGGATAACAACTATCTTGGGGAGTTAACTTTGCACGACATTAAACCGGTTCGAGCAGGGGTCATTAAGGTTGATGTAACCTTTGAATTAAATGCCAACGGCGTCATGACGGTGTCTGCCGTGGAGAGAGGTACCAACAACTCGAAAAAGGTTACCATTAACCACGATAAAAGCAGATTCCTGCCCGAGGAAATTGAGCGGATGGTTGTCGAAGCCAAGTTGCACAAGGAACGCGACGATGTTGAAATCGAGAGAGTTCGTGCCAAAAATGCATTTGCAACCTTCGCAATATCGTTGCGCAAATCGATGATCCGTGGTCCTTTAAAAGACAAGCTTAGCGCTGGCAGCAAGCAGACGCTTAAGGAGTCGGTTGACAACGCTCTTTCGTGGTTGCAAAACTCACCGAACGCCACCAAGAGAGAATACGCTGACCGTAAGCGGGAATTGGAACGGGTGGTGAACCCTATCGTGGATCCGATTGAAGCGTCATCTGATGATGATGATGATTTGGCGTCTGAAGAAGACGCGACGACTCTTGTACTTGATTAGTCGTTTGTATGGCAGTAATGAGATAAGTATGACACCCCACACCGTAGGTAAACTCACCACTTTTCACTCAGCAGTATCGGTAGTCATGAATAACAGCATCTGTAACTCAACGGAAACGAAAAAATCTACTGCTCTTCATTCTGGTATAATTGGTAGACTCCGCGTTTTGGTGGTGGTTATCCCATCACACCAACGCTTGCTGTTTGCTATGATTGTAGTCGCCATGGCGCGCGAAATACCACCGACAGAAATGAGACGCGATAGTTGCATTTAGCTAGGTCGGCTTCAAACTTTACACAGAAAAACTCACAAATGCTAGCCGCTAGCGTAGACTTTATTAGCCTTTTGCCAGTCTCCGCTTTTGACTCTACAGTAAAGTGCGATCAGAGGATGGTATAGACTATTCAACTCATTTTAAGGGCAGATTGAAGAATTCAAGCACTTCTTCTTATATCTGGTTGAATTGCCTGTCGTGTACTATGGTTGAAATTTGTATTCTCGCACCTGATGGTCACCGAATCTGATTAACTCATATCCATTCTATCAGACTATCTGTAATTAATATACTCTATGGGGTTACTACCTAGTACAAGTGTATACAACGTGGCTTACTTGCTGCCCTTCTTGAAGAGCTTCTTGAGACCCTTTTTCTTCTTCTTCGTCTCCGTCGTCGGCGACGTATCCGTCACCACCGGTTCCGGAGGACGGTAGCCAGTGGCAGCAGTGATGGGGACAGTGCCAGCCACGGGAGCAGCACCAGCAGCACCCATGGGCACGCCAATACCGTTAGGGTCAGACACCAGACCGCCACTCATTCTCGGGTTAGAGTTATTGAACCCAATGGGCAGACCCAACCGTTGAGTCTGCTTCATTTGCGGCAGCGGCCCCAGCCCCGCCAGGAACTGGCCCAGAGTTCTCGGGTGGCCCTGAGTCGCTGCCGGAGGCGACATACCAGGGGACATCCCCGGAGACCCATACAGTGTCGGTCTTTGTTTAGGCAAAAGGTGTGGAGGCACCTCGCGGTTAGCGTTCTTGGCCCGCTGTTTCCATAACGGGATTTCCAAGTCCTGGGGAGACTTCACTTTATCAATCAGCTGTAACCCAATTAAGAAGTCTCTCGGTCTCAAGATCAGCTCGGAACCAATGTACATGTCTTTATTAAGCTGGTCGCCAAGCTCGTACACCAGCCGCATCTCCGAATAAGTCATGCCGCCGGCGACGTAGACAAACACCCTTTGGCGCGGTCTTAACAGTTGCGGCCCCACCCGGGTCAGCAGCTGAGCCCACAGTGCTTTGATGCGGTTATTTCTAAGCAGGGCCGGTTGTTGCAGCAGCGAAGGACCGGCATCGATGGCATCGTCCTCCAACGGCTTTTCCCGGAAGTAAGGGAACCAGTCCTCATCCAACTGGTGTTTGACGGCTTTCTGGACCACGTCTTTAACACCGGGACCAAATCTCGACGTATTATAAGTGCCCTCATTATTAATCGTGTGGAACATCTGTTTATCCACTTTCGGGTCCTGGACGTCCTTTTTGACAATGGGGAACCCCACCTTATACAAGTTAGTGAAGCACCGAGAAATGAGCGACGTCACCTGGCGGTCGTTGACGCCAATAAACTTGACGAGCTTGATGAAATCCAGCTCCACAAGCCCGCCCCGGTACAACCCGTAGATCAACACAAGCCGCATTTTGTCATTAACCGTCAAGTCTTCTCGGGCAAGAAGCACGATTAAATCGTCGTGTAAATGACGATTACGCTCGCCTTCAAACAGAGTGCCTTCAGCAGCACACGTTTGTTCGAAATCGGCGGCAAACTCGGCCAATTTCCGCAGAGCGTTACGGTCAAGACAGTCGTCGATAAGCGTCTTGTGCATCGTCAAAAGACGTCTTTCCTCGTCAAACCCCTTCAAGTTGGCCATGATATAGATTAAGTCGCCCAGCGTCTGCGCCTTGGACCGGTCGACCAACCGCAGGTTATTTTTGATTAACTCGTTGATGCGGTTGATGATGAGCTCCAGCAGCTCGATGATATGCATGTGGCGCAACGCCACCCAGTCGTCGTCGGTTTCGTTTTCTAGTTTCGCCTTCATCTGTTTCACTTCTCCTGTTTCGGTTTCCGCTTCGTACTCGTACTTACCGGTACGCTCTAACAGGGGGACGATATCCATGGCCATTGCTTGGTAAGTGAACTCATGTAATAATGGAGCAAAAAGATCAATACTGCGGTCGACAATGATGAGTAATGACCGGGGTTTATCCCCCGTAGTGGCGGGAGGGAAATCAGGATTAGCGCGGAAGTAGTCGTCGATTTGCCGCTGATACTCATCAGCAATGAGTTCAGGCAATCTCAGTGCCGGGTACTGGTTCAGTTCTTTCGATTGGTCGGGACAATAGAAGCGGATTAACGGCATTTCCTCAGTAAGCACCACAAGGTTTACCAACGCTCTTGCCGCCAATTGGATCTGGGGAATGACTAAATCGCCACAATTCTCGTTATAGTAGATCGGCATCAGGTTAGGGGTGATGTTATCCGTCAAGAAAACGTGGGATTCAAGCGGATGGAGCACCGAGGTAGTATAATTAATTCTGCCATCAAAATAAGCAGAAATCTTTGGATTCTTCATGAATTGCTGCCCATTGAAATAGTGGGTCACTTCCGGTTCATCCAGGGGTAAAAACAAGCCAATACCGCCTTTATACCGAGCGGTGTGGGCGTCGGCAGCGATACATTTGAGATTAAACAACAGCATCTCGACAAAGTAGATCCCCTCCATGTACAGGTTTTGCTTGCGGGCGTCATCGATCTTCTCGATCAGGGTGACGATGCGCAAGAGCTGTTCTTTGGTCAAAACAGCGTTGATCACCCGTTCGGTGGTGTCGTCGATGACGAGGGCGTAGAGGCCGCCGGGCCGCTGGACCCGCTTGATCTCGTCGTGGATGTACTTGCTCTGGAGGTGCAAAAGCGACGTGGGGTCGCTTGAGGCCAGAGACATGGGCGAAGGGGGCGGGCGGGCGTGGGTAGGTAAAGGAATGGGGGTGTGTTGCTACCTAGGGTTCCTAGTTCGCAGCACCAATCCTATGAGGCAGCGCACGTGACACAACTGTTAGCAGTTACCAACAGCTATTTACGAGGCCCCTAAATCACTAGCAATTGGTCTCAAAAAAGGTTGATTTAGGTGAGTTTCATGCAATTGGGGTGATTCGTGGAATTTTTAGGTTCTTAGTGGATCCGATACGGGTGGACTGAGCTGCCACCAGAGTCATTGCTGGATCGCTCCTTCCCGATCGGGAAACTGTCACACTCACTGCTTCCGCGCGTACCACTCGCTAACGTCAGTGAACAGTCCGATATGGCCTTAGGATTCTATCACATCAGCTACAACTTGATCAATTGCTTTAATGTTTTCTAGACTGAATTGAAATTTATAAATCATTTCCACTTGATCAATTCGTATATTCTGTGGTTTGTCTCTTCCGGATGGTCTTACTACGGTCTTACTACTGCTCAGTGTGATTTTCACAGCACGGGCTCTTTTTTCGTCACTGGGTTTTTTCACAGCTCCGTGCCAGCTAACCACACAAAAACGTGGCACCCGCACTTGGCGTCTCGTGAAAAAGTAACCACCACGATCTAAACCTACTAACTACAGGCCTAGACCTGGTCCAGACATATCTGAAACTTACCGGTCAATTTCAATTTCCCTGAATTATCTTAATAATAGATGAGATAGCTGGATAACGGGGCTTAGTCGTAAATATTTACGGTGTGCTTGGCGGCGGTTTTTCTCCCACGGCTACACCGCGCGCGGTGGCCTTGAGAGCCTACCACCCCTGCCACGAGTCCTTTGGCCACGCTCCACCATAACCGTGTCTCCCGTGATCTGACATGGCGTCACCCTCTCCCGTGGCCGAGGCCGCGGCCTACATCGCCGGCTGGTACACGTTCCTGCTCGTGCTCTCCGTGTACAACAAATGGATGTTTGGCGACGTCGGGCTCGACTTCCGCTTCCCCATCCTCATCACCGCCTGCCACCAAGTGGTCCTCTGCGGAATATCGGCTCTAATCCTTTACCTTAAGCCTCAGCTACGGCCGCAGCACGCACGTACCAATTTCGCCCAGATGTTCGTCATTGATGCCAGAGCCTATTTCACCCAGATCGTCCCCTGCTCGGTAGCGCTGGCGGCCGATATCGGTTTATCGAACGTGCTGCTCAAATTCATCCTGCTCAGTTTGTATACCATGCTCAAAACGCTGTCGCTCGTGTTTGTGCTCATATTTGGTCTCCTCTTCCGCCTTGAGAAATTTAACTGGAGACTCGTGGTGATCGTCGCCATCATGACGGTACTGGTGGCGATGATGGGGAAGACCCCTGAGGCTGGCTCCAAGCACGATCCGGTGGGGGTCATCTGTATTTTGGTGGCACTGTGTATGCTGGGCCTCCGGTGGCTGCTCACCCAGATCTTGCTTAAACGCAACCATAACCCTTACACTAACACGTCGTTTTCAACTATATTCTACGTGCTGCCTGGAATGGCACTTCTCTTGTTTGTGGTGGGGTTATTCGCCGAAGGATGGGGTGATTTCGTCGCCGCCGAAGTATGGCAAGATAAGGGGGTTGCCCTTACCCTTGTGCTCATGCTCTTCCCCGGGGTGTTGGCGTTTGCCATGACCTACTGTGAGTTCATGCTTTTGAAAGTGGCCCAGGTGTTGACGATGCTGATAGCGGGGATGCTCAAGGAGGTGTTGACCATCGTCGCCTCCACCGTGCTCTTTGGCGACAAGTTGAGCGGGCTCAACGTTGTGGGCCTTGTGCTCACTTTGGCCGACGTGTTGTGGTACAATTTGTACCGCTACCAAGTGAAAGACAGCGACGCCGACCCCACCCCGATAACCTACGTCGCCATCGACCACGACGAACCCCGCTCGCCGAGACCCCTGGTGGAAATGAGAAGACTCTGACAACAACGACACGATTGTTAACATCCCTTGAAGTGGTTTACATGACCAATCATCATGATTTAGATAGAGATCCCCTTTGGAGTATTAATAGACACATGGTACTGAGAACATGAAGACGGTAATCAATTTTAGTCTGACGTTCACAACGAGTAGACTACAGTTAAGACTTTATTTGAACAGTAAGATTGGAAACTGATTATTTGTTAGTATAGTGCTTGGTCTGAGTGAGTTTCTGTAATCTTAGACATCACACGACCTTTTCCGTGCTTTGAGTCCGACACACATTTCCAATTGTGAAGATAGAAATGCATGCGACTGCCGCATTTTGACACGAACACGACCTCCCATTGTCGTAACCAGTACAAATTTGAGAGCAGGCACTTGTGGGCCCTAAGCAACTGATCTCATCGATGTAGTGTCGTAATTATTCATTCGCCTATCACACCTCATTATTCGCTAACTTGTGCCACCCTCTTAGCACCCCCTTTCTGTGTTAATGATGTCGCTGTAGCTAATAATCTGGCATCGCTTTAGCCTACAGATCGTGGGGGGTGGACACTAGCAACCATAAATAAAACTGTATGTCTAAGGGGCGGTGGGGGTGGCCTGACGATGGTAGCCTGACGATGACACTGTCAATTAAAAAAAAAAAAAAAAACAGAATAGTCCCTTGTAAAATGGTTAGTCTTGGCTATATGCGACTTCGGTCGTGGCGGTGCTTCTCACCCAGCACACTCTGACCAGATATCTCCCCCTAACACCACCGTTCAAATCAATCCAATTATAGTCTTACTTTTATTCCCGCCTTCGAATCTCGGTGGCAAATTCAGTGCTAAACTTTTTATAGTTGCCTCAGGAGAAGTATACACCTTTCCAAAGGAGTCAAGTAGAGCGGCTAAGTACAATAGACTACGCCTCGTTTGTGCCAAGGTTTACGGACACACCGGGATAAACACATCTTATTAAATCGAATACGTACTCTACAGTCTATAGTCAGTGTTAATTATCATTAATTATGGAGGGGTGTCGCATACGTCGCTGTGATTTACACGTCGATGTTACTGTTGTCATCGCATGGTTTTTTGCGGGGAAAAACGCCGCACGTGACGCGCATTTTTTTTTAGCCTTATGCGAATTTCGTCCCACAAAACCGTAAACCGACAGACACACCCCCATACCCCTTCGCCCCCCC